GACTTCTTCTTGCGGTCGGGGGGTGAAGGCGTCCGTGGCGACACAACAGATTTTCTGGCGACGGGAGTTGTTGAAAAAGCATGGCCATTTCATGCGAACAGATGCACTCCCTCCTTCATCAGCAGCAGCTGTAGTTTTAAAAGCCAAAGCGGCAGTTACTACAGTTGCTATCAGCAAAGCTAAACATCCAAGTGGATTAAGAACCGGGACCGAGGTTGACATCCCAGGAAATTGCACCTGAATGCCATAAGACGTGCAGTTTGAATCAAGACACAGAAATAATTAAAGCTTCAGATCTCAGAGAAGAATCCCAGTCATGTCATACACATTTGTGGCCAAAATGTGAATAGAGATGTGCCGAACCGGAAGTCGCCGGCTGTACTATGGAACATTGCGGTGTGGCAGTCTGCGAAAGTTCCGGTGTACAAAAATCAGCATTGTCATGAGTCGAGCAAATTCCGTCGCGTGCCTACCCCAAAGTTGCAAACAAGCTTCGATTGCAAAAGGACCAGGTTTCGTGGCGTAGCAAGTAAGGCGATTTCCGCAGCACTTCTCATAGATTTTTTAAGGAAGAGAAAACGCCCTACAGCGAAGTGCAGCAATGTTCCGGTGTCGCTGCAATCAGAAACAGTGCATACAATCAGGACCATTTCTCGATTGACCAGGCAAAGACATGCCACAGCATTAGTCATAACTATAATTCTAATGGCTTAAAATGTTTCAGGAGAACATCTGCAGCTGAAAGAAAGAATCACATGTGAACGCAGACTCAAGGATTTGCAATTCTATGGAACTATCTATCCAGCCTTTTGTACGGATAATAATCGGCCCGGAACCGATTGAACTACGCAGTTAAATTAAACGAAAGAGTCGCTGAGTCATGTGACTTCTGAAACAATTGTCATTGTCAGCAATAGTGACCGTAACTGTTCTAAATGCTCGTGTGGTTACAAGTCACCTGTACGGACGACGCTGTTGTCTTGGTCGGAGCCCAAACCGCCATGGTCGCGGATGCGAGTGGACCAAGGTGGATCCTATCCCCGTCGGAAGGGCTATGTGACCTCCAGGTAACCCATATTTTAAGAGATGGTATTAGGAGAATAGCTATTTGACATTCATTTTTGTCAACGAGCTTAATAGCCATTCTCTATTCTTCCTATTCTCTATTTCTTGACTGTTGTTTAAACGCTCCACTGTGTTAACCAGATTAGTACACACACGTCATTGTTAATGGACGCTCATTTCCGTGTCATCTTCAGCAGTGCCTTCTATGTTTTCCGGATCTGGTCGATGTCCGTTCTTTTCGAAGATAAAACCGAGGTATTTGATGATCGGCGTGAAAAATGCGCATTTATCTTCACGGATCCGGAAACCGTACGACTGTATACAACCAAGCACTTCATCCAGGCGGTTGAATAGTTCTTCTGATGTTCGACCCATCACTATAATATCATCCAGATATGCAGCGGTTCCAGAAACGCTCGCTAACATGGTATCAATCAAGTTTTGGAAGATGGCTGGCGCCGTTTTCACACCAAATGACAAACGGTTGTATTGGAATAGCCCACGATGAGTGTTGATCGTCAACAACTCCCTCGAGACTACGTCAACATTCACTTGAAGATAAGCATCGGATAGATCAAACTTAGAAAAATACCATCATTCAGCTTTGCAAAGATATCTTCCGGTACAGGTAGTGGGTACTGGTGGTTTAGGCCAGTTGAGAAGTCAGCGCAGACGCGTACCTTGCCATTTGCTTTCTTCACTGCGACAACAGGTGCGGCACATGATGATTAGTTAACGGTTGTGATGACTCCGGCACGTTCTAGTCGCTCGATTTCTTGTTCAACGGTTGACATGGCTGCGTATGGTACCGGTCTTTTAGCCTTGAACCCTGGTTTAGCACCTGGTCGCAAGTTCAGTGTTGCCTTGAATTTCGTACAGTGACCCAAGCCATCCTGAAAGACAGAAGCAAATTTTCGATTCAGAGTACGTGTCATGTCTTCGACGGACTTTGATGATGGGTCTGGACTTGCTCGAACTCGGCTGCAGAGCTGATTCAAGGGAACGTCGAGGGGACTCAACTTTTCAATCCAGTCGAGGCCAAGAAGATTCAAATTCGGCCAGTCTGAAATGTAGCATGTTCCCGACTTTTCCACACCTTGGAAAGCAATCTTGCAATTGAGTTCGTCCACTAAGTGTAACACACCGCCAGATGCATTATGTGCAACTTTCTGAGACTCGACCATCTTCGGCTTCTTTATGTGATTCCATGTGCTCCTGAAAATAATCGTGATGTCCGAGGCCGTGTCAAATTGCAGCTTCGTTGGGATCCCATTGATCAACACACTGATAAATCGTCGCCTCGGTTTACACTCGCTTTGGAATGCGGCAAATATGGACAGAGACAAGGCACCATCCTTTCTAGAATTTCCCTTTCGATAAGACTTCTCCACTTTCTTCGACCGAACCTGACTGCAGCATTCCTCTTTATGCCTAAGCTTATGGCACGTTTGACAAATATGATGTTTGAAGGGACAAAAGCGCGCGAAATGTCATTCGCCGCATGAACAGCATGCTGTGGGCGGTTTGTTCGTCGGCTTCTTGAAGGGGTTGCTTCGGTTGCCGGTCCTGGCCTTTTTCACAAGTTGCACGGTATCTGATGGTGTGAGACCATTGTGCTCGACCATGGCAGTGTCGTACTTTAGAGTGAGCAGCCGTTTGCATTCGCTTACGAGGGCCTTCAGTGTCAGATCAGGATCCTGCTCCAGCTTAGCTAAAAGCCGCGTGCGGATCTCAGCATCACTGGGCGATAGTAGAGCGCTGACGAAAATGAGACACTTAAACTGATCGTCCGTTAAAGAGCGTAGTTTGAAACGTTCACACTCACGGTTAATCATGTCTGCCAAGGCCCCAAAGTCGTCAGATTCCTGTTTGACAATTTTCAGGCACTGATAGCGAATACTAAACAGAGATACCGACTCACCAAAAATTTCCTTCAGCTGCGACACTACATCATCAAAAGTCAGATCCTTCGGCTGGTTGGGCAAAATGTGGTCTATGAACCTTGCATGTTCAATTATTCCGAGTTTGCGGAGTAGCAATCCCACCTTCCAGGAGTCGTCTTGACGAATGAAGTCCGTCTGGAACATGTTTTCCCAGCGCTTGAACCACGCTTCGAAGGTGCATCCAGAAGCCGCGTCATAATTGAATTCAGTGATCGTGAGAAGATCAACAGAACTCAACTGCGTGTCCTGCGCCGCTGCTCCTGTCGTCTGCACTGTGTCAGATTTTCAATCATTTTCATTTGTGTCTCTATTTGGGCTTGCTGTTGGAAAAGAAGCTTTGGAAATTGTTCAGCAGAAAAAATTCATCACATTTCCAATTTTCTCCGTCGCCACAAGTTATAATCTTCTCACTAGACGCAATTCCAAAAATAACAATTAACTGCTCCACAAAACTTCTAGCCTAACCGAAGGAAAAAGTAAAACGCCAATGACCTTGACAAAGCAACGTATTAATCGCTAAAATAGTGGAATCCAAGGCAATTCTTTAGTTGATTCTGCAAATGACTCTAGAGCTTCTCCGGTCGCCACCGAACAATCCACATATAGCGTTAATGAATGCGAACATCCACTTTCGTCTCCAACTCAAGAACCCAAGCTGACATCGCCAGATATGCGTTTTTTGAAGTTTGTCTAGACATGAAACTTGATTCCGCGTCACCAATCACAGTTGTGCCATATTGGTTTTACAAACAGCACTTCGGTCAGCTAACTGTACATCCATACGCTTACACTTTCAGCAGCTACTCCAATGGTGATGTAAACATACTCGGTTTTGTTATGGCTTTAATATTTCGTATAAACAGCAGGAAGCGTATAATTGAAGTTTACGTCTCCAAAACTGATAGCAAGCCTCTATTGGGACGCAATGCCATGGTCTTATTGAAAGTATCACCATGCGTCAGCCGGATGACCATTGCCAGCGTCAACTTCATTTGTCACTTTCCAGTTACCCTAAACTCATTCTTCTAGATACTGGTAGAGTCTCAAAAGCAATGAACCGCATTCGGTTGAGCGCGGATTACAAACCCTCCAGCGCTTCTCAACCTAGGCCTGTACCTCTGGCCAGGCGAGAGGCGGTCGCAAGCTTTGAAAAATGTGCTCAAGGAAGACTTGATAGAACCCGTCCAATGTTCTGAATGGGTCCATCCAATAGTTCCCGTTCAAAAGAAAGATGGCTCTATTCGTCTATGTACCGATCTTCGAGCGCTTAATCGATATTTAATTGTGGACAAGTTCCCTCTGACTTCTATCGACGAGTCGATGCTTAGGCTTTCAAACGCCAAACTTTTCTCAAAGCTGGATATTCGCAGTGCATACTACCACATGCCACTGACTCCAGATTGCCGACATTTCACTGCTTCCCTCACGCAAGACGGTTTGTATCAATACAAAGTGCTACCAGTCGGCCTTAGTAGTGCCCCAGCAGCTTGGCAGAAATTTATTACTATATCGCTATCAGATCTCAAAGGATGTGTTGTGCATATGGATGATATTTGAGTCTTTGGTAGTAACCCCACCGAACATCAGGAAAACCTTCATAACGTGCTCCATAGACTGAATGAACTAAACCTGCACCTGAATATCAGCAAACGCCAATTCGCTGTAACGAAGGTCGAGTTTATTGGATATGTTATTTCTACCTCGTGTATTAAGCCTAATGTGCAGAACACCAGAGCCATTCTCGATTGCCCAAAACCATGTAATGTTGCACAGATGAAACATTTCTTGGGTTTGTGTTCGTATTATCTTCGACAGTTGCCGAATTTCGCGACTATTATCGAGCCGTTATGGAGGCTGACGCGACAAAACCAGGGGTTTCGTTGGGCCACTGAACAAGACAATACTTACATGACCGTACGAGCGATGATTGAATACACTCCCACTGTAGCGATCTTCAATGAGCACTGTCCGACGTTTGTTTCACCGGATGCTTCAGATGTTGGCTTGGGTGCAGTTCTGTCCCAGCTGCGCGATGGCAAGGAGAAAGTGATTGCGTACACATCGCGTACCTTGTCAGATACTGAAAGAAATTATTCCGCTGGCGAGAAGGAGGCCCTCGCATGCATCTAGGCATCTGAAAAATGGCCCTTTTACTTATTCGGACGTCGACTCACTTTGCACACCGATTATTCTGCTCTTATAACGCTACTAACTCGCGGTAACAAAGGCCAAAAGCCGGTACGCTTAAGTCGATGGTACTCATGTTCAATGAACTATGATTATGAAGTAAATACGTGCCAGGGTGCTTTACCCAAGTTGCAGATGCCCTGTCGAGACTCCCACTGTCCAAGGAAGGGGAAAAAGGGGAAATAGAGGAGGTAAAAATGATATCACACCTCTCAAACGGAACTTTTGACAGACACGAGGGCACGCTTACAAAGGCCCGGTCCTAGCGAAGGTTAGGGAGTACATATCCACTTCATGGCAGCCATACCAAGACCAAGCTGAGTTACTTCCATATTAAACCCTACGGTACGAGCTTTCTACTGTGAGCAACTGCATTAATAGAGACCAGCATTATGTGGTTCCTGCAACCCTTATTCCTCTGGTGGTTGGATGTGTGCATGAACGTCATCCATGGATTGTGCGAACAAAAGCTCGGATACGACAATAATATTGGTGACCGAAGTTGAATTCCAGCGTCGAGGCGGTTATTCGGGAATGTTACACCTGTCAACAATCCGATAAGAGTGCAAGAACCCTGAATGCTCCAGTCCAACCTATCGTGTACCCAATGAAGTCATGGGCAAATATTGCCGTCGATATTATGGGCCCGCTTGCCAATGCACCGCCGCAGAAACGAAACGTGCTAGTGACTACCTGTTTCTGCAGAAAATGGCCAGAGGCTATTCTATGCGGGGTCTTAACTACAGCCGTCAGCACAAAGTGGCTCCGTTGTTTATTTGCAAGGTACGGTTTGCCAGAAAAAATAGTCACTGATAACGGCCCACAGTTTCGAAGTAATGAGTATGCCGAATTCCTAAGGCGCAATGGTATCAGACACACGAGGACTGTACCTTATAATCCTGCAGCCGATGGACTCATGGAACGATTTAATCGTGCTTTAAAAGAATTGCTACAAGTCCTTTGGCTTCTTGGGATGATGCGTTGGTATCTGCATTGGAGGTATACAGAACCACTTCACATACTGCAGCGGCAACGACCGCCTCGGAGCTAACGCTAGGGCAAACAATTCGTACTCGATTAAATCCAGCTTTTACATCCGAACAAACCGCCAATTACAGAGAATACGAAAGACGGGCTGTTTACCAGGCTAAATATAGACGCGTTGGGAGAACATATCCTCCAGGGACATTTTTTCGTGTGAGACTACCCTATTCCTGGAAAGAAGGTAATGTGTTCGGACCCCCGACCCGTGTGGGATCTGTGTGCACGTCAGGAACTTACAAGTTGGCTGATGGGACAAAGGTGAATGTAAGACGGCTGCATGCAGTGTTTTCCCAACGTGCTATTAAACAGATGAACACACTTAAAACACAGCGCTCGGTACAAACTGATACAAATTTAAGACGTTCCGGTCGGATACACCGCCCGGTCCACCGATACGCTCTAACAGATAACACCACATGATAATTCTTTGAAGTGTTGACATTAAAGTAGATGGTTCATGGTATGTAGTGCTTAGAATTTTACGAACAGAGGTGGGGACAATGTCGTGTTCAAATACCTTGCTTTGTTTTTGCCTTGGTTACGCTTATCCTACTCACACTTCTACTTGGCACTCGTTGGCCAGTCATGTGACCTTTGCATTTGATTGGTTGCAATTCGAACCTCTAGTAAATCGTACTGCGCGTATGTACAGACAGTTTTCTCCATACCTACGTTCTGGTGCTGCTCTGGTCTGCTGCTTTTTCGGGATACAACATTTTTGAATCGCAGCGCTTGTGTTACGTGTCACGTCAAATTCCATAGTTCATGCACTGGGATATCGATTGAGCATTTCCAGCGCCTTTGAGAAATTTGTGTAAGAACTGCCGAAACGAGATACAGCCGGAGAAGGTAGAGCTAAATCGCAAATCGCCTTGTAGGGTGAATCATTCCATTGAGAGCAGCTACGTGTGCTTGGTCCAGCTAGCTAGCCAGAAGCGCCTCCATGCTTCAGATAAGCTTTCCTGCTAGTCCCTTGCAAACTCACCGGCACGAAGTTCCGCAGTTACCAGCTGCCCAGCTACACGTAACTCGAATATTTCGCCTGTGTTGTACTCTACAAACATAGATGTCCCAGTGTGAGAAGGCCTATGTAATGAAGAAACGTGGAAAGCACAAGGAAAAGGCAAAAATTGAAAAGAGTTCGGCCGCTGCAAATCAACGACTGGTTAGAGCACATGAAACCCGAAAAAATCCCCGTCTTACAAGGTCAACCTGGGCCGACCAACCTCTTGATGTTCCACGTGCCTGAATAGAGATCCAACTCCCTAGATACGATACGATAATGACGTCGAGTTTTTACACAGCCTAATTGACAAACTCCTCGACGTGGGGGAGGACGGGTTGAGAGTGAAGGAAGTTATCCGTCTTGGAAAGTGAGATGATTAACAAAGTCGACCAATGAGAATCACCTTTGTGGGTGAAGTCAGTCCGAGGCCCGATTAAAGAGATTGTAAGGTCTAAAGCTCCATGCAGACTTAGATACGGTGGATCGATAATGACTCAAGTCTGCCATCGTTGAACTGAAGGGACGAAATGGTGATGGCGAAACGTATCCCCATATCGTAAATTTTCGGGTCATTTCCAAGATTCCATGAATAAGGATAAACAGGTTGTTCACATTTCATGCACGCCCGATGGTTCCTGCTGCGGCCTGCGCGTAGCCTTCAACAAGAGTTGTAATCTTATGGACAAGCGCAATGAAATCTGTCGCTACGCTGCGTCTGAGCAGCCAGACGTAATGGGACGCGCAGACCTGGCTGAATTCTGAGGTGATAGCACAGAAAATCGAACTAAGTGGCTACTCATACTTCCGCTGCGATAGACTACCGAGTTCCCACGGTGGCGTCTTGCTCTACATCGGATCCTCCTTGTGTGGTAGAGTTGTGAGCGTTCACAAAAGCGATGATAGTCTGTGTGAGCAGCTGTGGTGATCGGTCCACATCAGAAGCAGGGAGTTGCATGTGGGTGCATATTATCACAGTCCCCTGAGCAGTTGTTGGGATTGGCTGTCGCATCTCCGAAGTTACATGAATCATTCCCATTTTCCACTCATGGGTGTTTCAAGTGTCCTCGGATACACTGGTCTGAAGTGGAACTCATGTCAGGAGATCGCGAAGTCGAAACAAAGTCCGTGGACTTAGAACTTGAAAGTGGAGCAGCGCGACACACATACCAGCCGACTCGAATAACGCCGCGCTCAACTCCGTCGTGCCTGGACTTGGTGTTAAGAAGCTATGAACATACGTATAACATTCAGGTCCTAGAACCCTTAGCAGTAAGCGATCACTCAGTGCTCATAGTCGGTATGGGTCTTGCTTAAACGTATTCCCATCCACAGGAGCCAGCTTACAACTACTGGAAAACTAACTTCGATGGTCTCTAACTAAAACCGCGAGCCAAGTAGGTTAGTCTCTGCCGCAAAATGCATCTGTGGAAGATTGTTGGACTGACCGTACTGTGTTCTCAGTTTGTACCACTGAAGTGTCGGAACATTGGACCAGTCAGGCCGCATTGGTTCGACAAGGAGTATGGCAAAATGGCTCAGCGGCGGCGTAACTTGTGGGACAAATGTATTCTCTCCAGCTCTTCCAATGATGACGAGGCGTATAAGACACATCGAAATATTTGCAAAAGTGTAAAAACGAGCAAGCGCCGGTATTTCGAAAAATAGCTCGCAACCGCCGCAAAGACAGTTTCGAAAAGAATATTTGCTTACCTGAAGCAGCGCCTCAATCCGGCAGGTGATCTGCCAGGGGGCTCGGACGGACAGCCCATAACCTCTTAGGCCGCCAAGGTGGACGCACTTCGCTTCCGTGTTTGCAAATGACCAGGTGTCCGTATACAGTTTAAGGTGCAACACGCTTACCGAACTCAATAGTCTGGTTTGCGATGTTGAAGAGGTGCATCGGCTACTCACCAACATTGACAACATATAACATGTCCTCTGCACATCATAACATGCAAGACGGTGGAGGATGAGCCGCGCTATATCGTAGTTAGATATCAGTCATGGCGGTCCGCTGCCGTTGCCCATAGCTCAGTGACATAAGTCGCTGACTCACAAGAGTAAGGTTGTGGGTTAGAATCCGGCAGCATTCGGCGGGTGCGCGCTACTGACGAGTCCCAATAGGACGAAACGGCCGTCTAGCGCTTTCCTGGATGTGTGGTGGCTGTCTGTCTGTGTCTAACTGCGACGAATCTACACAAAAAGCTAAGAAATCCCCTACTACTTACAAACATCAAACCAGTTGGCCCTGATGAGCTCCACTCACTGATTCTCAAGTCCCTATCGGCCATCATCTTACCTGCTGTGACTGACTTGCTCAACGGGTCACTATCCGTAGGTTCATTGCCGCGTGACTGGAAATGCTCAGGGGTTAAGCCGATTCCGAAAGGCGGTGACTGCAGCAAAGTGAACAACAGGCCGATTTGTCTGACACATTTTGGCCAAAGTTGCCAAGAAGATCGTGAAGAGGGGTCTACCACAGCTGCTCCATTCAAAAGATCTATTGACGCATGTACAGCACGGTTTTATGCTAGACAGCTAATGCATTACCAACCTGTTGGTGACGAGGCATGAGTGGTTGCAGGTAGTAAATCAAGGGAAGTCTGTCGACATAATTTGCGTCGATTTCAGTAAAGCGTGGGATAAGGTCCTCCTCCACAAGCTGAGAATGTGCGGTGTTGGTGAATGACTGCATAAGTGGATCCAGGACTTTCTCGTCGGGCGAAAGTGGAGGGTACAGGTCGACAGCCATCTAACTGAATGGTATCCTTGAAACCCTGAGTCCCTT